CTGCCAGGATTCAGATCGGAGCGCCGCAGCTCCTCTCTCCACTCCGGAGGAATCCTACTTCACTTTCCACGTTTCTTCATTGACGTTTCTGCTCAGCTCCCTGGAGGCTGAGGTCTGGACTTTAACTAGGCCATTGTTTCCTCTGTGTGTGTGTTGGTGGTTCCGTTGGTGGCCCAGTTTGGCCCAAACCCCAGAGGGACTCCATCGTCTCCATGATGGTGTCCAGAGGACTTTGTCTAGTCCTCCATCCAGACGCAGCTTTGCTAACCTCAGTCCTGACGCCATCTTGTTTACAGAGGCTTTCAGTGTCCTGACCTTTGACCTGCTAATCCTCATTAACAGATTTTAGTTTTTACTTCCCAGGTGAATAAAAACTCATGAGTGAATCTGGTTTATAGCTCAGACTTTATCTGCTCTAGAATTAATTTTCATGCATTTCTTGTTTTCACTATTTCAGTTTGTCTCTGTGTGATGGGAATAATTTATAATTCTGCTGAATTATTATGTGGTTAATAAACCTTCATATGAAACAATAGTTACATTTTATTACATTTTTGTTTCCCGTTTTATTAAAATGAGTTTAACTAAAACATTGTCTTTTTAAACCAGCTGTGTAAAACTGAATGTCAGTTGGATTATTGGTTACATTATTACTATTATAATCATGGCACCCCGCCACACGGTGCCCCGCATGGCGCCCTGCCGCATGGCCCCCCGCATGGCGCCCTGCCGCATGGCCCCCCGCATGGCGCTCCGTGTGTTTCTGAGCTGTGGCATCAGCTGTGATGTCGCCGCAGAGCCTCCAGGCTAACCGCTAATTTATTCACACACCAGAATCAGAAGCTTCTCATGCAGGATTTCTACTGGGATAACTAAACCAAACCTCTGATGTGCTGAAGACACGGCCGACTTCAGGAGGTTTTCCCAGAAGCGGCTGAGGTTTCCTGGAGGAGCCAATCAGCAACCGGGATGCTGGACGTACCTGAGCCCATTGAACAGCTGCTTGGATTTATCCAGCAGGTAGCAGAAGTCGGTGACGGTTTTCCGCTCTCCCAGAGGAATGTCATCCTCAGCCTCGGCTCCAGTCATGACGTTTCACACCTGAGAACCAGGAATATTTCAGTTTAACTGGGATAAAGAGAAACACAGATGGACCAAAATAAAGAGTCCAGATCTGATGACGTTTCACATCCTGACTTTATTTACCAAAACCAAACCAGAAATCAGCTGTTTTACTCATTTTAATGTATTAACTAGAACTTTATTTATCCTGAATATTAATTCATTTATGTAATTATATGAGAACAAACCTCATCTTAAATTGAGCAGTGATAAAGGATATTGATTAAAATTTATTTATTTATATTTTATTGCCTTTACATTGTTTTATTATTCATTATATTTTATTTTTTGTCACTTAATTCTTTCAGAATTCATTTCTAAATATTTTAATAGTTTTTTTCTTTTAGATTTTTTCTCATATTTCATAAAACTTTCAATATTACTTTATTGATCCAAGCATGAAAACTTTGTTCAAAGACAAAAATAAAATAAAAAAATAAATAAAATGAAGAACAATAAATAATAAAAATAAAACATCAAATGAACCAGACAGTATCTTTATAAACAATATGAATAATTATAAATAATATTAATAAACACCATGAATCTGTGAGTTAATATGTAGAAGAAGGTCAGATGTTAACTTGGCGTCGTGTCTCCAGGTGTCCTAGTTAAATCACGTGGCGCCCGTTTTTAGGCCGACCCAGATTCCCTCCAATCAGGCCAGGCGGGCGGCGGCCATGATGAGCTCCTGCTGCCGAGGCGACGGACTGGACCAGAACTTTAAAACAGTTCTGATGTCGCTCTGCAGAGACCGGATCAGAACCAGAACCGGAACCAGAACCGGAACCAGAACCAGAACCGGAACCAGAATCAGAACCGGAACCAGAGCCACAACCGGAACCAGAGCCAGTTCTCCCAGTCCTCCATCTGACCCTGAAGGGGCAGAGCAGCATCTAGATCCTTCAACATGTCAGGATGAATCCCATCCAGTCTGGTGCCACTGGGAGGACTAGAGTTGACCTTGAGTTGACCTCAAGTTGACCTTTCCCCCAGTCCTCAAACCCCCCCTCTTTTCTTCTCTCCAACATCCTGGGACAAAATGTTCCTCACATCGTAAATAACCGTTTCCATATTTAACAGTCATAAATGATACTGACTACTAACCATGTAGCATAGCTATGCTAATGCTAGCATACTAACCATGTAGCATAGCTATGCTAATGCTAGCATACTAACCATGTAGCATAGCTATGCTAATGCTAGCATAGCAAGTATTAGATATGCTAGCATATGAAATTACATGCTGAAATAGCGATGATACAATGTGTAGCATATTATCCAATAATAACAAAATCCATCCATCCATTTTCTTCCGCTTATCCGGGATCAGGTCACGGGGGGAGCAGCTTCAGATAATAAAATCGATTATTAAAATAATCAACTAATTTAGTAACTGATTACTCACTAATCAGTTAGTTTATAGTATAAAAACTCTAAAAAAAGACATTTCTGAAATAACCTCATTCTCAGATGAATAAATGAGCCAAAAATGTACAAATAATATAAACATTTAGCAATAAAGATAAAATCATTTTACTCAGTTTTAGCGTCACCTGATTCTGCAAAATAAATATCTTATCACCTTTAGCATCCAGTTATTAATCAGTTATTAATCAGTTATTAATCAGTTAATCCATAAACAATCATCAGCTCGTCTCTTTTCAGCTGCAGATGAATCATTTAAACTTTCACTAAAGGAATCCTGTTATTTTTTTGTTGATTTTCATAATGAAAACAAAATTCTATTATCTTTTGCATTTTTAGTGTATTTATAATATTATATAAAAAACTTAAATGAAAAATCTGCAGATTTATCAGATTAACTAAAACGATCTGCAGCATCTACACAGTCTGGTTCTATAAATGATTCTAGAGCAGCTTCCTCTCCCCAGCCCAGTTTATCAACCACAGTCAGAGGCTTCTGAAGATGCACTGCGACACAGACAGCTACAGGAGCTCCTCCATCCCCACAGTTACAGCCTCCCTTCAGGTAAATAAACTCCTAATTCATTAAACTGGATAAACACTCAGAAAAGGAGCATTTTAATTTTTTCTGCATGAGGACCAACCTGAACGTGTCCTGAGTGAAAACTCAACTTCCTGAGGAAAAACCAGCCTGGACTCGGTGAGGCTCCATACGTCACAGTGACGTCACTATCTGACGGTTTCAGTCAGTTCTGCTGACAGTCCGATCACTAATCAATCAGTATCAATAGATGATGTTTATGTGGCGTGTGGTCACATGACGATGATGCTGCACGGCATCATGGGATGTTTGGCTGAAGACGGAACTGTAAGCAAATATATAAACTATCGGTAATAATTGGCCATCAACCATAACAGTATGTTTAATATCGGATATCAGTATCGGCCCAACATCGGTACGTCCCAACTGATTACTGATTATTTAAAACAGTTTAAACTTTATTTTACTAAAGTTGAATTCTTTCCTTCTTACCTCTTTTTTTACTTTTATTTTATCAAATTCCTGAATTAATGACACAAGTCATTTTTGTCAAAAGACGATGAAGGCAAAAGAAAAAAATAATGTAAAAATTATTTAGATCATTATTTTAGGAAGATAAAAATTTGACAATAGTGAGATTTTTTTGCATTATGTATTTGCCTAAGGGTTAAAGGTCATCATCCCATGGCATCGTCTGCAGACTGTATGAAAATTCTCACACACTAAGCTTTCAAGATTTTTATGTTTTTTAAATAATTTCCTCATTTTGTTTAGTGAAAGTTGTTCCGCTGATGGAGAATCAGATTAATTCAAACTGTTCCCGTCAGGATGCGGAACATTCCGGAGGTGAAATGTGGTGAATCCAGAGGTTTGGTGGGAATCTAAACCGGCCTGGGAGTCAGAACATCTGGACCCGAGCAACACCGAGCGGCCGCTCGGGCCGGTTCCCTCTCACCTCTGCAGCCGAAGAGGAGGATGAGGATGGCGGTGAAGAACCGCGGAGATGCTCCTTGTCTCGGATGTGTACAGAAAAGCCCCGAGCAGCTCCGTGTGAGAAGCCCGGACTCACTAACATCCCACTGGGTCGCAGATCCCGGCCGGACCGCCTGGAGCCACCGGCAGCGCGGAGCCACAGGAGCTGTCTGTCACCGCCGAGAGAAAGGCTCTGGGAGCGGGGGAGGAATCCGGAGGACGGCCGCTGCTCTGCGGCTCCGCTGCTAGCTGCTTCCGGGTCAAACCCTCCACAATAAGAGCCTCACACACAAAGGTTCTTTTTGACGCCGAACCTGAAGGAACCAGCCGATCTTAAAACTCAGCTTCAATAAAAATATAAAAACTGGAATGTCATCAAAAAGCGTTATTAATTTTAGTAATTCAGTTCATTTGGATGCATGTTCTTTTAAACCCATTGGTTTGGTTCTGGTCGTTTGGATGATTCTGGTTCCGCTTGACTGGACTTCCCGTTACTTTCCACTGTTAGTAATCTTCCTGAGGTCTAAGTGACAAAATACAAAAATATTCATATCATTTCAACAACTACACAAAATATGCACAAGATAATCAAACATCAGATTTTACAAATTCCACAGATGAGCCTATATTTAAAAAAATACGATTTAATATAAAACTTTAGAGGTAATTTAATAGAAAGTGTGCATTTTAAATGTTGTTTTGAGGTAATTTATTCCATCTTTGAAATGGTTTTTATTTAAAATTTGTCTTCAGTATCTTGTAAAATGATTATATATCTGATCAAAACCTTTTCATAAAATGATTCCGGTTTAGGTTTTCATCAGCTGGACGGTCTGAATCTTCTGAATTAACACAAAAACTCTTGAAATAAATCCAAATGTGTCTAAATCAAACCATAAAGAGCTCATCATAAATATACAGCAGATACTTTTAAAGCATCATGAATCATAAATCTATAAGAAAACATAAAACCCAGATGACGTTTTCCTGACGTTCATCCTGGTCAGAATAATCTTAGAACCGAATCTGAGTGTTTCTGGGTTCAGGTCAGAAAAACAACTAAAAACACAGAGGTTCTAAACTGACCAGAACCGGGTCGGTTTGGAGCATGAAGAGGAACCTGTGAAAACTTTTAAGACATAAAGTAGAAATTACTTTTATTTTCAGGATCAGTAATGTTTATTAATAAACCAGAAGGTTAAATTCAACTAAACATTCACACTTTTTACTCTTCATGTTTGTAATGTTCATGTTTGATGAGGATAAAAAATGTAGCTTCGTTTTACTGCAACTTATGTCAAAAAATCTGGAAACAATGAAAATATGCAACTTGATTAGAAAAAGTGACTTTTTAAAAAACTTACAAAAATTAGCTTTTTTTTTTTTTTTTTTTTTACTGTAGTCTGTAGGGATTTTAGTGGGCCGAACTGGACCAGAACCGGTACTCAGAGTCTCCACCGACAGAGGTCTGAACAGTTTTCTGCCTAGTAACCGAACTGCCTGAACCCTCAATTTCCCGCTCCCTGGAAATGGCGGGAATCACCATAGCAACTAGACAGGTTCTCCATCCAAACAGCAGCAGAAACAAAAAGTCCCATCAGTTTAGCTTTTTCTGCTAAAATTTTCTATTTTATTCTGTCAAATCATCTGATATGTTTTAAGCTTTTATAAAATATGATGTTTGGTGTGTGAACCACAGAGGAGACGTTCTGCCAGATGGAAACTTCACCGTCAAACCAACTACGACTCAGAACTGTGAATTCATTTTTATTCAAATTTCAAGACGGTAAACAGCTGGAATGGGTTTCAGCTCCAGCTGCTTGCAGAGCAGAGAAACAGACATAATGCCACAGATGATCAGGGACGCACCGACTGGTCCACAGATGGGAGGATTTCACTTGATCTGGAGATCAGGCACTGAAACAACTTATTATGGTCTGTAAACGCAGCAGAGGCCAGGATTTATCCGACAGTCTACAGACAGAAACAGGAAGTTCTGGAGCGACCGGCCATCGGTGCATCTCTGCTGATGAATCAGGAGGAACCAGTTCATCCCAGTTCAGACACAGGAGAATGAAAACGGTGTGCATGATACTTAAGATGAATAAATTAAAGTTAAAATGTTTAAGGCAGAATGTAGCAGGATGGGCTCAGAGGCTGGTTCTGTCACGTCGGGTCTGAGGTGGAAACACGACGCTACTTCATGAGACCCATGAGGGTCACCATCCGGCGTCTCTGCCCACCTCAACCTGGAAGCCGAGGGGTCAGCGACCCGCTGAAGCAGAGCGCGTCCAGGCTCCGCCCCCTACAGGAAGTAGGGTGTGGTTGTCCGGGGAGGAATGACGCGCTCAGAGTCCGGCACGGCGCGGAACAGCTTGGGCTCCCGCCGGCTGACGTCCTTGAAGACCATGATGGAGGCGATGTTCCCACAGCGGTAGCAGTAGTTGGGTGCCGACCAAACCGTCACCAGCTTCTCGTCGAACATGAACTTGTAGCCCTCATGGACCAGCTGGTGAGCGCGGCAGATCAGCTTCAGGTTGTTTATGTGAACGAACTGAAACAGAGGGAACGCTGGGTCAGCAGCGGGCAGGGGAGGGGCGGGTTCTACGGGTCGGATCTCCCTACCTCGTTGGTGACCTTGGAGCCGAACAGCCAGCCGGCGCCGCGGGGGCTGATGGCCCAGGTGTCCACGTCCTCCGGGTCGGACCACACCAGGTCGCAGAACGCCCCCTTGTGGGGAATCTCCTGGTTCCGCTCGATGGTCCGGATCTGGTCCAGAGTCTTGATGTCGGGCGAAAGTCCGCCGTGGACACAGAGGATCTGCTCATCTATCAACTGGACACGACAGAGCAGAGGTCAGCTTCACACAACGAAACCTGACAGAGGCTAACGGACCAAAACCTGAAACAACCGACACCTCTGAGGCGGAGCCGGTTCTGACCCGGTTCAATAATCTATCAGTCTCCTTCTGATTCAGTTAATCCATAAATTAATCACCAGGTCAGATGGAAAATCCTTCATTTATCACTTCATCTGCTAAATCAGCCAAAACATGAACTTTAAGCATCAGGGTTGAGCTGGGATTCAAACAGGAAGTAACACGTCAAAAACAGGAAATGAAAAACTAAAGAGAAAATCAGTCAGAGCTGCTGCCGTTTGTCTCCATCTATTAAATTGTTTTTTCTCATTTTTCTCCTAATTTCAGCAGAATATAATCATATTTAACGGGTCAGCTCCAGATTTAACCTTCAGAAGAATTGATGATCTGATTGGTTCACTGATAATCCAGCTGCTAATCTGGATTATTAACTCAGAGTTATTATAACCTGATTATTGAGTCAATCTGAGTTAACAGGCTCAGCTGCTGTTTGCTCT